TTGGAAAAAGCATCTGTTTTTCAAGACAACCCTGAGTTTGAACTACAATTCTGTTGCCAAGAGCCATGTAAGCTTTGGACAAATTGTGTATATCTTTGAGCCTCAAAGTCCTTATCTGTAAAATGGGTACAATATATATCTTGCAGGGAAAGAACGATATATTCAAGGTAAGAACACATTAGTTATCTATTGCTGCATAACAAATTATCCCTAAAACTTATTGGCTTGAAGTAACATTTATGATCTCAGTTTCTGGGCAGGGCTTAGCTGGGTGTTTTGGCTCAGGGTCTTTCCCCAAAGTTTCAGTCAAGGTGTCATACAATGCTGTGGTCTCATTTCAAGGCTAGACTAGGCCAGAACCTGCCTCCAAGTGCTCTCGTTGGCTGTTGGCAGGATCCAGTGCCACTTGGGCTTTTGAACTGAGGATGCTGGTTCCCTACTGGCTGTTGGCTGGAGTTCTCCCTCCATTGTTTGCCATGTGTCCTCTCCTTCGTCTGCTGATAATATGGCAACTTGTGTCATCAGATCAAGAAGGTAAGAAGAGTCAGAGCAAGAACGAGACTGCAAGATAGAAGTCACAGTTTTATATAACCTAATCCTGACAGTGACAACCCGTCACTTTGGTTGTATCCAGTTGGTTAGAAGCAAGTCACTGTGTTCAGCTCACATTCAAGGGGAGGGGACTACACGTGGGTGTGAGTATCAGGAGGTAGTTGGGAGCCGTTTTAGAAGCTGTCTGCCATGATATTTAAAGATTCTCAGTCAATAGAAGCTATTGTTATGACCAAATACAAAAGCACTTGGAAAGTGACATTCAGCACAGAAACTGAAGAAATCTCCTGGATTATGCATCAGGGTCAGGAAATTTAACAATCATATGACACTATCAGTCTGTAAGGAGGTTCATTCTAACCAGTGCCAGATTTTCTGAAGACTGCATTTAAAGATACATTTAATTTATATATATCAAATACTGGTTTGATAACATGTTACCAAATAACAATGTTTGGACGTTAGAGTGAAAAGGCATCCATTTCACCTACATAATGTTTCTTCACATCTCTCAATGTTTTTCTAGTTATTTTAGGATGTCCATGTTTTTATGAGGATGTAAAG